CCATCCACTCACGATGCTGAGGTGGGAGGATTGTTTGAGCCTGGGAGGCGGAGGCTGCAGTGCAGCCTGAATGACAAAGTGAGATCTCGTCTCAAAAAAAACAACACACAAAACAAAAATGTAGAGAAGGTAGCACGATGCCACTTTTAAAGGACGGAAGAACTGTTTGCTCCCATCAAAGAATCAGGGAAGAAGCCCCAAGGGGAAGCGCAAAGAGATGAGGGGAGATCTCTGCCGAGCCTGGCTCCCCCATCCCCAGCACCCGTTTCTGGGGTTTTGCCTCTGCTGAACGAACACAAGGATGAGGAGTGAATGACACCCTGAATCGTTCTCAGCTGCCCGGAGGTGGGACAGGAGGCCCATCCACCAGGCACGCAGAGAGCCTCAGCCAAGACACTGCGGATTCTCATTTTTCGGGTGGTTAGATTCTGTAAGGTGGCCGCGAACAGTGAGTTAGCGAATCCTGAACCAGTACTCCGGGGGAATACAGGGTTAGGTTCCTCGAGCCTCTAATCACACTTTTCTCAACTGACCGATACGTAACTGTTTACACGTGTTTCTGTTTAAAGAGGCCTTGTTAATACGTGCCCCTGATTGACTGGTACTGAGCTCATGGCCAGCAGCACTGTCACTCACGCCTGAACGAAGCTGCTGTAACGCACAAGGCACAACGCAGGCTTCTTGCTCTTACGGACAAGAGCGCCTCGGTGCTATGCTCGGGAGACATTTTAAACAGCCAAGTCAACAGCAATGAGCACAAACACGGGAAAACACGGCACTGCAGAGACCGTGAACGAGACACACGAGTGCGGTGTGACAGCTGAATCAAGAAGGCAGAGTGTGTCGCCCTGTTCTGCCTCCGCCGGGGACATGGGCATCAGGTGACTCAAATTTTTCACTGCTTTGAATGTACACATGTCCATGTCTCCAAATGACCACAAAATCACTGGAAGTATTGATTTGGGGATTGCAAATACATTTTATTGAGTAGGCCAATTTGCAAATATGGAGTCTTTGAATGAGGCCAGCCATATCTACCTTGAGAAAAGGTGGCATGAGAACGTGGACATTGGCTAGCCCCATGCTTGCACCCCCAGAGGTACGCGGGGCTCCATGGGGCTGTCCTCTCCTACTCTGTCCCCATGACCAGTGGAGCTGCCTTTTTCAGATGGAAGCGAAGCCGCCTCCACTTCCCTCTTGCAGCCTCGGACTGTGCTGTCAGCAGGGAACACGCCCAGGCATGTGGGCTACACACCCCTTCCTCTTGGCAACGGCTCTTCCAGGGAAGGCCCTGCCCAGCACCCCTCACCACTCAGGGCACCTACCACACGCCACTGTCCAGTAGACCTGGGAGTCCTGGGTCTGGTGCAGGATGCGGTAAGGGGCCACGCGGGCACTGGAGTCCAGCACCACGTCCAGGGTGCCCACGAGAAGACCTGGGAACAGGGCAGACAGACATGGTGGGTGAGGGGAGGGCCGGACTGAGGCCCCTGAAGGCTGAGTCTGGCCGGAGGCAGAAACGATGGTGGCGCTACCCAAAGGGTCCAGCCCAACGAGGGCAACGTCCTGAATTGTCCCCGCGGTGAAAGGCCTTCAGCCAGCGTCTGATCCCAAACAAAAAAATCCCCTTCTGCTTCTTCCTGGAAGCATCTGCTGCTTCTCCTGACTCAGAAACGCTTGCAGGCGGAGGCAGAGGCAAGTTTCATGGGGTCAGAGCTTAAACAATTCTGGGAAGCCCTCTTTAAGTATACCAAAGTAGACTACAAAACAAGTATTGCTTTAGACTGCGTTACACATTAAAGCTAAAAAAGAACAATATCACAAATATCACAAAATCCAGAAAACCAACACGATGGTTAACTGCCAGACACACCTCCAGAAATGAGACTTTCAGACGTGTTTGGTCGTGTACTCATCGCTTCTTCACAGGACAATGATTCTGCAACATTATTTTCCGTATCAAGAACAGAAAGATAATGTCTTCCCTTTGCCATGACTCACTGATTTTTATTACCGGCCGTTTAAGGAAGTTTCTTTTAGCCTCAAAACTCATAACTGAAGCTGTCAATTCTTAGAATTCTGAAATTTAGGAAAATACTGATAAAAGTGTTTTCATTTCTGAACTGAAACATTTTACGGCATTTCAAGTTTTTCTTCTCCTCACATACACCCATTTGATAGATGACACACATTAACCAGTTTGTGGCAATGCTATCTTTGTTTTTAGATTTTATTTTTTTGGTAATGCTATCTTTGTCAGTGCCACTATTTGCAGTGACAAATCAGCAGGAAATACAGTTTTTTACCGTCGTTTGAGTCACTAATTGAATTATCAAGCAATCTAAAAACCTGTTCATTGTTATTTGAAATTTTTTCTTCCTTTTAACTAAGTGCTGCTTTTGACATGATCTGAAAATATTTTGTTACCAGTTTTCCTGTTGATGTCAGAACCATTTTTATTGCTATTACTCAATTTTAACACTTTTGCTTCACAGTTCATTAATATTTTTTCGAGATAGAGTCTCGCTCTGTCGCCCAAGCTGGAATGCAATGGCGCCATCTCAGCTCACTGCAACCTCCACCTCCTGGGTTCAAGCGATTCTCCTGTCTTACCCTCCTGAGTAGCTGGGATTACAGGCGCATGCCACCATGCCCGGCTAAATTTTGTATTTTTAGTAGAGACGGGGTTTTGCTATGTCGGCCAAGCTAGCTATTCAGATTCTTTAATGAAAAGTCTAGGTTGGCATGTTTTTAATAGATGGCTTGAATAAAACCAAATCACTGTCCCCTCCTCTTCAGGGAGGACAGTACTCGGAAGCCACAACGCCCATGATGGCACAAGGAAGGCCCTGTCAGAGGGCACAGCAGGACACACCAAGCCCAGCAGTGGGGAGAGTGTTCAAAGAATGGTCCCAGGGGACACGGAGAGTGAGGTGGAAAGGGGAAGAGCCCGCAGGAAGGTGTACTGAGGCCGGGCTGCACCTGCACCCGCCCGTCCAATGAGATGGCCTGCGGAAGCCTGCCGAGCACAGCACGAGTGCTCCAAGCACACCGGCGAGTATGACACACGGGCACGCCGGCGGAAGGAAAGATGCCGGTCCCTTGCCTTCTTCAACGGGCTTGCAGTAGCTTTGAGGTTGGCCACAAGGGCTGCCAACTAACTGCCACGGAACAGCTGGATCTAGGAGGCGGGTCCAGCACAGGAGCCCGAGATCCTCGAGGCCCACTGGGAGGGAGCCTGAAGCTGAAGGGAACACTGAGTGTTCCTGGGAACAGAACAGTCTCTTCCATATGAAGAAGCGTGGCCCAGGAGAAGCCTCCGTCTGCATCTGGCTATTAGCTGCTAACACTGAAAATCAGGATGATTCACAGAAAAAGGTCTTGAGAAACTGGACGACCTGGCAACACTGGGACCGCATTCCTGCAGGGCAACGATCGGTGCCCCGAAGAGCCGGACTCCTGCAGTGCGGGCCGCGGGCCCTGGAGCACGAGGGGCCCGGGACAACCCCTGCGGAGGGAGGGGCCTGGAGGGGCCTGTGAGCCTCCCCCGGATCCCACAGGCCGCACGGCTCCAAGGGCCTCATCCTGCGTGGTGGGGGCGCCCGGGCCCACACACGGCCACCTTGGCGAGCTGGCAGGAACACGCTGCGCTGCTACCCGAAGCCTCGGGTGGGCAGCGCTGAGAGCAGCCAGGGGCAGAAAGGCGGGGGAGGAGCTGGGGAATGGGGGTGCGGCCGGCTCCGGGGACCTCCGATCTTGCTAAAAGGGCGATACTCTGGTGAGGTGGGAATGAAGAAGACGGCACAAGAAAACGTGCGCTGGCGTCACTTGGCCCCTTAGAGGCACCGGGGGAAACTGAGGTGGAGGAGGAGGACAGGGCGGCCTCGCTAACTTTCGGCGGTGGAATCCCGGGAAGCGACACGGCTCCCGGGGCTCGCGGGCGCCGAATCCGGGCGGAGGCCGCCCCACGCCGACCTGAGGAGAGCCCGCCCAGGGCGCACTCGCCTCCCGCCAGCCCCTCGCTCCCCGCCCCGGCCCCTCCGCGCCCGGCTCCCGGGTCCTGGCCTCGAGCCCCCGCCCCGCCGCGCACTGGCGTGCGTGTCCGCCGCGACGCGCAGAGGCCGGGCCGGAACCGGACCCGCCCGCCGCCAGCCCCGCCGCGGCGTCCCTAGGCCTGGCCGCCCGCGCGCCTCTCACCCGTGAGGCCGCCGCCCTTGCCGTGGCCCCGGCGCCGCTGCAGCACGAAGAAGGGGTTGGCCCGCTCCGTCACCCACAGCGCATTGGCCACCAGCACCTCCTCCGGGCTCAGCCACATCGCGGTGCCGCTCGCGCCGGGCCGAGGCCCGCGAGGCGGAAGCGCCCGCCGCCGTCGGCGTCCCGGAGCGGAGCGTGCAGAGCGGGCCGGGGCGGGGCCGGGCGGGCGGCGCCCCCTGGCGGGCGTGTGGCGCTCACGCACCCGGCTCGCGGCCCGCACCGCCCCCTCCGCCCCCTCCGCCCCGGTCTCGGGCGCGCGCCCGCCTGGCCTCCTGGAGCGGTCCAGCCGCCGGCCTCCGGCCTGGACCCAGAACGGAACGGCCCAGTCCGCAGACAGGGGAGCCGCTGTGCAGAGCAGGGCTTCTGGCGTTTTGAAAGCTGTGCAATGTGAAAGAAAGATATAAAGAAGCACAGTTTGGTTGTTTTTGGCTGGTTTTGCGTGCAACCCGGGGCGTGTTAGCACTGCAACGGGCGCCTGGAAAAGGGTTTGCAGTTCCTCCTAATTCTCAGAATTTTTTTTTTTTTTTTTTTTTGAGGCAGAGGCTTGCTCTGTCGCCCGGGCTGGAGTGCAATGGCGCAGCCGCTATCTCAGCTCACTACAACCCCCGCCTCCCGGGTTCAAGTGATCCTCCTGCCTCAGCCTCCTGAGTAGCTGGGATTACAGGCGCCTGCAACCACGCCCGGCTAATTTTTTTGTATTTTTAGTAGAGACGGGGTTTCACCATGTTGGCCAGGCTGGTCTCGAACTCCTGACCTCAGGTGATCCGCTCACATTGGCCTCCCAAGTCCTGGGATTACAGGCATGAACCATCGCGCCTGGCCAGTTCTCAGAATTCTGACACTGGGGCCGGAGACTAGAAGAAACGTCCAGCGCAGGGCGAGTGCCAGGAGGCCCTGATACGGGCTGCATCCTTGGAAATCAGTGCAGCTCCTCCCCTGACAGACAGATCACGGAGGCTGGCCGGCCTTGAGGATGGGGTCTGGGCTGGCCCCCGGGCCAGTGGTGGCTTGTGCGCAAGCGCGAGGCGGGCTGCACGCGAATGCGGGACCCTGGTCTCCCAGTGTTGACCTGCAGGGGTAGCACCAGTCCACGCCCGGCCTTCTGCATGAAAGGAGCTGTCAACTCCACCTGGGACAACAGGCCTGGATCCATGCTGTCCGGGGTCGACTGGGATGTGGGGTCACCCTGCTGGCCAGAGCCCTCACCAGGATCTGGCTAGAGAGCAGAGGGAAGGGGGCAGTTAAACCATCCTTGGAGCTGGACCTGGCTTCCAGGTGGGTTTCTGTGACTGGCGATCAAGAATCTTGGTGTGATGCATGCAGGTACACGCAGTTGACACCCAGAGTGACCTGCAGTCTTCTGCAATGTTGCTGGATATAGGAATCAGCTTTCAAGATGCAGAGGTGGGCTTGCTTCAACATTTTGGAAGTTTGAACTAATATTGTCATTGGGCTCTCTAGAGGGAAAGAATTTGGAAGATCTGCACTTTTTAACACCCTGAGAGGAGGTAAAGAGTTGTCTTGTTCCTTCATTCCACTGGTTCTCAAATTGGGCATACATTAGGATCACCTGAAAGGCTGATTCAAACAGGCTGCTGTAGGCTCAGCCACTTGGGAGGCTGAGGTGGGAGGATCACTTGAGGCCAGGAGTTCAAAATCAGCCAGGGCAACATAGCAAGACTCCATCTGAAAACAAAACAAACCACCACACCGGTTGCTGCCCCTCCCTCCCAGGGTGTTTGCCTTCCTAACGCGCTCCTGGGTGATGTTGATGCTGCTGACCTGGAGACCACTCCTCGAGAATGATTTTTTGTTTGTTTGTTTGAGATGGAGTCTCACTCTGTCGCCCAGGCTGGAGTGCAGTGGCGTGATCTAGGCTCACTGCAAGCTCTGCCTCCTGGGTTCACGTCATTCTCCTGCCTCAGCCCCCCGAGTAACTGGGACTACAGGTGCCTGCCACCGCACCCGGCTTATTTTTTGTATTTTTAATAGAGACGAGGTTTCACAGTGTTAGCCAGGATAGTCTCGATCTCCTGACCTCGTGATCCGCCTGCCTTGGCCTCCCAAAGTGCTGGGATTACAGGTGTGAGTCACCGCGCCCGGCCAAGAATGATTTTTTGTAAGAAGAAAAAGAACAGACATTTATTGAGCACTTAGTATGTGTGTGCTAAGCTTTACTTCTTTTTGATTTTCTGAGCTATAATTCACATTCCATAACATGCACCCTTTTAAAGTGCAAAATGTAGTGGTTTTTAGTATATTCACTAGGCTGGACATCCATCATCACTAATTCCGGAACATTTTTATCAAAGAAGAAACCCCTCACCCATTAGCTGCCATTCCCCACTTCCCCCCAGCTTTGCCCTGGCAACCATCAATCTGTTTTGTCTCTGTACATTTTTCCCTTTCTAGCCATTTCTTCATATAAATGGAACCATACAATATGTGGTCTTTTGTGTCTGGCTTCTTTCCTTCCCATGTGTTTGAGGTTCACCTATGTCATAGCATGTATTGATACTTCATTCCTTCTTATGGCTGAACAATACCCCATGGTATGGATGCACCACATTTTGTTCATTCATTCTTCAGTGGATGGACATTTGGATTGTTTACCCTTCTTGTCTATTATAAATAATGCCGCCACGAACATGTGTACAAGTCTCTGTATGAATATGTGTTTTTAATTCTCTTGGGCATATATCGAGGCGTGGTATTGTTGGGTCATGTGGTACAGCTGTGTTTCACTTTTTAAGCAGTGGCCAAACCGCTCTTCAAAGCAGCTGCAGCACTCCACATGCCCACCGGCAGTGTGTAAGAGTTCTAGGCTGGGTGCGGTGGCTCATGCCTGTAATCCCAGCACTTTGGGAGGCCAAGGTGGGCAGGTCACCAGGTTAGGAGATCAAGACCATCTTGCCTAATATAGCGAAACCCCGTCTCTACTAAAAATACAAAAATTAGCCAGGCATGGTGGCACCTGCTTGTAGTCCCAGCTACTCGGGAGGCTGAGGCAGGAGAATTGCTTGAACCCAGGAGGTGGAGGTTACAGTGAGCTGACGTGCCACTGCACTCCAGCCTGGGCAGCACAGTGAGCCTCCATCTCAAAAAAAAAAAGAAAAAAAAGGTCTAGTTTTTCCATATCTCGTCAACACTTGTTATCGTCTTTCTTTTTTTTGATGTCCATTTCTCAAGGGTGGGAAATGGTATCTCACTATGGTTTGGATTTCCATTTCCCTGATGACTAATGATGTTGAGCGTCTTTTCATGTGCTTTTGGGTTATTTGTATATTTTATTTGGAGAAATGTCTATGTCCTTTGCCCATTTAAAAATTTTTTTTATTTTATTTATTTTTGAGATGGAGTCTTGCTCTGTCGCCCAGGCTGGAGTGCAGTGGCGTGATCTCAGCTCACTGCAGCCTCCGCCTCCCGAGTTCAAGCGATTCTCCTGCCTCAGCCTCCTGAGTAGCTGGGATTACAGGCGTGTGCCACCATGCCTGGCTAATTTTAGTATTTTTAGTAGAGAGGAGTTTTCACCATGTTGGCCAGGATGGTCTCAAACTCCTAATCTCAAGTGATCTGCCCACCTCGGCCTCCCAAAGTGCTGAGATTACAGGTGGGAGCCACCATGCCTGGCCCCTTTGCCCGTTTTTAAATTGGGTTGTATTTTTATTGTTGAGTTGTAAGTGTTCTTTATATATTCCGGATACTAGACTGTTACTGGATATATGACATTAAGTCTACTTCTTAAATTATTTTAAGTATAATCCCCACACATCAACCCTATGAGGTAGGTATTTTATGATCCCTGTTTTTACAGATGATAAAGCTGAAATCCAGAAAGATGAGATGATTTGTCAGTTCATACTATTGCGTGGGTGGCAAGGCAGCACTGTTGTCCAGACTGTTCTGGCTCCAGCTCTTTTCCACGCGTGTCAGACACATGCTGCCTTTGCCCCCAGCATTCACTTCTCCTGTCTGTGCAGTGTCGTTCATGATTCTGCAGTGGGAACCGGGCCTTAGAACATTCAGCTCCGGTCTGTCAGGTGAAGATGCGTGGACTCCTGGGCTGTGGACGTGGAGCCTATGCCAGCTGAGGCCATCGGTGCATTCTGTCTGTGACCACAGGGGCTGGCTGGTGATGGCCACGTGCCTCCAACCAAGACAGCTGGGCCAGGGAAACACCGTTCTGACCTGGGCCACCTCCTGGGGAAGTGGAGCAGCTCTTGTGCTGCTGGGGCTACTGCCACGCTGAGCCTGGGATTCGGGTTCCCAAGGAGGAAGCAAAGTTGGCCTGTGTCTTGGTGTCAGCATTTGAGGGTCAAATCACACCAAGCCTGACACAGGCACCCCTGGGCATTTTGGCTTTTGGGAGCCATTACATTCCCCTTTTGTGTTAGCCAGTTTTGGTTGGGTTTTCTGTCATTTGTAACCAAGAGAGTCCTCGGCGATACGCGTTACCACCAACAATACTCCATGTGGCCAAATCAGCTTTTTCAGTCAGTTTTTATTGAAATGGTTATATTAGCAAATTCTGCACATACAGGTGTACACTGTTGGCATGTAGGTATATACCATACAACTTCACTACTTGATTATACTTACACCAACCATGCAGACCGAGGAGCTGCGCTGCCCAGAACGTTTCAAAGGGCTGATGAGATCTGATTGTCAAGAACCTCAAGAACCAGCTCACACTCTACTTGTAGGTGTTTGCGTTCCAGACAAGAAAACTCCCCGTACAGGGAGGCCCAAAACTGAGCTAATCACCAGTGTTGCTTCTTGAATATTGACTGTTCTTTCTGGCACAAGCTATCCAATGAATTAAATTAAAATTTTAATTAACATTCAAGTGCATAGTTTCCTTTTCATCCCTCAAGGTGGAATATAAGTCATGTGCCACGTTTAGGTATATCCCAAGCCTCCCCACCCCACATTACCTGTGTTACAGTTAGAAAAATAGTTTTGTACGCCATCTTCTGAGATGCTGTGCATAGTGAGCAGGAGCCTGGAGTGAGGTGGGCTCTTTGAATGACCCAAATATGAAAGGGGCAACTGTAATATTTTATGAGTATAAAAGCTACGGAGGGTCCAAAACAACTGAGACACACGTGACCTCGGGCTTGCACCAGCTTCTCCTGTCCAGGAGCAGGATGCTTCCATCAGGTGAGAATGTTCTCCACACCTCAAATATCACTTCCTAGCTTGGCGCCTTTTCCTGTTTTTGTAATCACACTGGACAAGTTTTCTCTTTAGACAGAGTTATTGCCTCTCTGCAGTAGATCTGGCCCCAAGCCCCAGTCAGGAGATCCCCTCCTCCAGCTGGCTCAGCGAGCCAGGCCCAGGCTGTCTGAGGAACGCCTGGAGACAGCACCCTCTCTGCTTCTCTCCAGGATGGCACTGTCGTCTCAGGCTGGACACCCAGCAAAGGTGCCAGGACCTGGACCTGGGCCACACCTACTGGCCCAGTCCACAGAGCACAGCCAGCAACCTGCAGCCTTTCTGCTGAAGGAGCGCTTACTCACCTGAACCACCTCACCCCACTGTTTCTTTACAAACATCTTGGTTCAGTACCTCCCAGTCACTGGAAAAGTCCTTTAAATATCACATAGTGTAAATATACTTGCACTTAATTGGAGATAAAGGGGGTTCCAAAAGCAAATTTGAATTCACTCTTTGTTGGGTTAAATTTGTAAACCCCAGCTCAGAACCACTGCCTGTGATGCTCCACAGATGTTGGTGGCTATAGAGAGGTGGCTAGGGAAGGCGACGATCTGTGGATGGGTGGAGAACTGAGGAGGCCAAGTCAGCCTTGCCAGGCCACCATGTGCCGCCGGGAGCTGGGCAGCCTGAGAGGAGAGCAAAGATGGGCCGGGAGCCCCCGCCTCAACTGACAGGAGCCTGCTCACCACATGCCCCTGAGTTCCCACAGGAGAATACATGTGCGCTGGGCGGGGTGCCACCCTCGGCTCAGGAGGGGACCTGGGCAGCATCTGGCTACCAGCACTGCTTTCAGGGGTGGCTGGGCCACCGAGAGCTTTTGTGGTGTGTGCACAGGGAGGAGGAGTCAACAGGAGGAACTCCGCAGCCCAGGCAGAGGTCTGAGCGGGCCAGAAGCACTGAATACTTCTGAAAGCTTAAAACTCAAGTTGCAGGACGTTCAAAGTTTGTTTTTGTTTTTGTTTTTTTTCCCATAAAGGATCTTCCTTCTTCCCCAAGTTAGAGTGAAAAAAAAAAAAACAGGAAAAAAATACCTTGAGCTTAGGGTGGAAAGGGAAGGAAAACCCAAGATGAGTCCAGGTGACGACCGGGCGGCCCCCACAGGGTCTTTGTGGGGCCACAGGAGCCAAGACTCAGGCACACGAGCATCGTCCTTTCAGCAGCCCAGGCGGATGGCGCCTGCCCCTCCACGGTCACTGCAGGCTGTGGGGCCACAGCTGTGGAGAACGCAGGCGGCTGGAGACCCTCTCGGCCTCTCTTCTTCAAAGTTCAGTTTGTTGGGATCTTCCAGGACACCCACAAAAAAGAGGGTGAACCTTTAGCAATGTCCCAGAGGAGCTTCATGGCTACTGGGGGTCTCCTGACTCCCAACCCAGCCGCCTCAGCCAGGCCTCAGGAGGCCGGTGTGACCTTGAAACTCGGAGCCCCCATGAGACACAGGGGAGCCAGTCCCATGCCTCACAAGGGAACGTTCCTCCTAGATGCAGATTTGCTTTGCTTTGCTTTCCCTGTACTTGCCTCGGACAATGAGGAAAGGAATTCCAAGGAGCAGACACAGGCACCTTGTCCCCACCTGCCTTCTTCCGGTGTGTTTTTCTGATGCTACAATACTTCAGATCCGTGTAGGGCTTCTCCCAGTTCTTCTGCAAGGCCCTTAACCACAGCCCAGGGCACCGTGTGAAGATTACAATCAACAGCCTTTCCTAAAGGGTTAAAAGGAGGGTGTGTCGAAGCTTTGGAATGCTTTACCAACAAGGCCAAAATACAAGACCAAACTCCACGCCCTTCATATGTAACAACTGCTCTCACCAGACCTGGGAGGGGAAGGTGCTATTTTCAGCTGTGGGTATCGCCCTGCGATGAGCCCTTACTCATCTCCCCACACTCACTGACAATGTGGCCAATGTTGACTTTAGTCACATTAAACTCTGCCTCCGGGTGACACTGAACACAGGAGAGGAAGTGAGAGCTAGCTGGACAGCCGTTCGTGAAGACGGAAATCGTACTCAATTGCTTTTCTACATCCATTGCCTTCAGTAGTGCCTTCTGTCCACACTTTATTTTTTTTTATTATTATTTTTTTAATTTATTTATTATTATTATACTTTAAGTTGTAGGGTACATGTGCATAACGTGCAGGTTTGTTACATATGTATACTTGTGCCATGTTGCTGTGCTGCACCCATCAACTCGTCATTTACATCAGGTATAACTCTGTCCACACTTTAAATGTCAGTGTCCCTAGGGCTTTATCCCAAGCCCCATCCTCATGTCACTGGGCGGGTCCAGCCCCACTCTGGCTTCCACCTCCATCTGAAATCAGGGACACCTCTCCTGACCAGCCCCCCTTGGGAGATTCTGCCTCCAGCGCATGTCAGTGTGTGCATACCTGTGGGGGTGTGTTGGGGAGGGAGAAGGAAGGAGGAGATTTGGGTGCCATAGATATTGTGATTACATGGAGATACTTCAGCAGGACAAGATGGCATGTCCACTTAAAACACAGCTTCTGACTGGGCGTGGTGGCTCACGCCTGTAATCCCAGCACTCTGAGACGCTAAGGCAGGAGGGTCACTGGAGCCCAGGAGTTTGAGGCTAGCCCGGGCAACATGGAGAAGCTCTGTCTCTAAAAATCTTTTTTTAAAAATTAGCTGAGTGTGGTGGCATGCGCTTGTAGTCCCAGTTACTCGGGAGGCAGAGGTGGGAGAATCGCTTTAGTGCGGGAGGTCGAGGCTGCAGTGAGCCGAGATTACACCACTGCACTCCAGCCTGGGCAACAGAGTGAGATCTTGTCTCTAAAAAAATTCAGAAACAGGCCGGTGCAGTGGCTCGCACCTGTAATTCCAGCCTCTGTGAGGCCGAGGCGGGCGGACCGTTTGAGGTCAGGAGTTTGAGACCAGCCTGGCCAACATGGTGAAACCCCGTTTCTACTAAAAATACAAAAAATTAGCTGGGTGTGGTGGCGTGTACCTGTAAACCCAGCTACTCGGGAGGCTGAGGCAGGAGAATCACTTGAGCCTGGGAGACGGAGCTTACAGTGAGCTGAGATTGTGCCACCACACTCCAGTCTGGGTGACAGAGTGACACCCTGACTCAAAATAAATAAACACAGCTTTGCAGGCAGTCTGATGCAGGGGTCTGCACCCTGGCCACCTCACCCCCACTGCACCTCCACTGGCCACCAGGTTCGCACCTCCATGCCTCCTTCCAGAGCCCCTGCCAGCCCAGACCTGAAGTATCCCCACGGGACTCTCCCTGGGTCCCATCAACACCCACCCGGGCACCAGGCCTGGAAGCCCAGGTTTCTGCCTCAATCTCCCTCCTCTTCCACTTGGTGTCAGAGCCTGGGGTGGGGTCTGTGAATGCCTCCCCTTTGCCTTGGGCCCCAGACAGGACTGGCATCCCAGGCCAGGGCCGTGCCCAGCCTCCCTGAGCCCCAGTGCGGCTCCTTTTCTTTCCAGAGACAGGAGTCTGGTCCCCCTGGCAAGCGGTCCCTGCCCAGGAAGTGCTGTCCTGGCCTCCTGGCCACTGTCCTTGCCTTCTCTTGACTGTTCGCTTGGGCCTGTCTATGGCTGCAATGCCTCCCCTTCGCCTGTGCCCTGGAAGTCCCTCCTCATCCAGATTCGCCCTCTTATCATTTGCTCTCACAGCCCAGTTGGTTGATAATGTGCCCATTGTCTAGAACAGCCAAAATTTTAATGGTCACGGATTCACCCCAACTTCAAGTATATGTGTTTGCACAGACTGAAAGCTTAATAAAAGTCTGCTGATGATATTAACTGTAGAACCCCACTCTTTTCTTTCTACATTCTACATCTCTAAAATCAGTGTTTTTGTTTCCTGACATTTAAGAGCAGCAACCACTTGTCAAGGAACCGCATTGCCACTTGCCAGTGGTTAATGTCAACCACTGACATTAACGCCACCTCCTTGTTTTCCTACAGCAGAGCCAATGCCTCAATAATAAAGGTTAACAGCAAGAGAACACTTTGATTTTTCTTCAGTTAAAACTAGCTTCAGCCAGGCGTGGGTGGCATGAGCCTGTGGTCCCAGCTACTGGGGAGGCTGAGGTGAGAGGATCACTTGAGCCCAGGAGGTCAAGGCTGCAGCGAGCCATGATTGTGCCACTGCACTCCTGCCTGGGCGACGGAGCGAGATCCTGTCTCTAAAAAAATAAAAATATAAAAAAACCAATTTGATTTAGCATGTAGCTCAATGAATAGATTGGATGTGAGGGGAATAAAAACATGAGAAGAGCTTCTGAAGCCAATAGAAAATGTCAAGTTTGTAAAATTCAGTAATCTCATTTTAAAAAATACTTTTCCAAATATCATCAGACTCACTGGCGGCTGGGGCTGCTGCCGCATCAGGGAGGCTGGCAGGTGCCAGACCAGTGCTCAAGACAGTGCCTTGTGGATGTGCTTCTCAGCCAGGCCTGAGGACCACCAGGGGAGCTGGGAGATGGGGCCTATCTGCAAAAGCAAGGCTCGTCAGGATTGTGAGGAGTTTTTAGCTGGGGGCAGAGCTTGTCTTCCCAAGAGGAGGGCAGAGGCAGGCAGCCCTGGGCAGACATGCTCACCACCACAACTGGCTGCTGAGCTCCACCTCCTGCGCTGGAAGCCCTGGCTGTCTGGCCTCCCCACCCCCTGGAATAACAGGAAAGGAGGGCTACTATGGGCAGCTCCTCCCTTAGGATGTTACAAGTCACCAAAGCTTGGCCGGGCGCGGTGGCTCACGCCTGTCATCCCAGCTCTTTGGGAGGCCGAGGCGGGCGGATCACGAGGTCAGGAGATCGAGACCATCCTGGCTAACACGGTGAAACCCCGTCTCTACTAAAAACACAAAAAATTAGCCGGGCGAGGTGGCGGCGCCTGTGGTCCCAGCTACTCGGGAGGCTGAGGCAGGAAAATGGTGTGAACCCGGGAGGCGGAGCTTGCAGTGAGCCGAGATCGCGCCACTGCACTCCAGCCTGGGAGACAGAGCGAGACTCCATCTCAGAAACAAACAAACAAACAAAAAAATCACCAAAGCTTAAGCATTTGCATTTCAATAGTCACAACCAACTCCCAGAGGATGCTGATGGCTGCCCTGGCCCTAGACTTGCTCATCCTGCCATACATGCCCATGGTTCTGCTCACCTGGCACAGGCCCAGCTCACAGCAGTCCACTGGAGGCAGGGGGGTGGGTGTGTGGTGTAAACAGCTGACTCCTCAGCCTCTTCCTTACTTCAAATAGTTCCCCCTCAACAATGACTGAGGTTATCATACATTTCCTAATAACCACTGCTGGCGGCAAGACTTGCGAGAACTGAGATACTCACTCTCCGCACCCCCTCACACCCGCAGCAGGCAGAACACTGCTCCCCAAGTGCCTCAGGGCAGCGCTGCCCATGTGGTGATGTGTGACCTCACAATGCTCGCCGGACAAGCAGCCCCGACCGCTTCCTGCCAGGGTCCCGACTTAGCAGGGATTTCCCCCAGCATAGCAGCTAGTGAAGAGGCTGTTATTTGGGATTAAAAAAGAAATGCCATTCTTGGCTGGGCATGGTGACTTACAACTGGAATCCTGGAACTTTGGGAGGCCGAGGTGGGGGCGGATTGCTTGAGCCCAGGAATTCAAGACAGCCTGGGCAACATGGCGAAGTCTCACATCTCTACAGAAAACACAAAAATTAGCTGGCTGTGGTGGCGCGTGCCTGTGGTCCCAGCTACTCGGTGGGCTGAGGTGGGAGGATCACTTGAGCCCAGGAGGTGGAGGCTGCAGTGAGCCAAAGTTGTGCCACTGTACTCCAGCCTGGGGGACAGAGCCAGAGACCCTGTCTCAAAACAAAAACAAAAATAAAAATAAAAACCCGGAAACCAAAAACCAAATTTTCCTCTATTCCTGAAGAGCATGACCTTAATGAGAAGTTAGTGTCCCTCCTGACAAAGACAGGCCATTCTGTAGCTGAGCCAGAGAGTGACCCCAATTTTCCAGAAAAGGGTGTCAAGCTAGGATCCACAGCACGGTTCTGAGGATGCTCCCCTGCAAGGAATGCCTCCTTGGTTATTCTACAGTGAATGTGCGCCCCAGATTTCCCAGAAATTCACATGTTATATTAATAGACAGATTCTAGGGGCCTGAACTTTTTATTTCTTCTCAAGTAATTTCATACCTTTTCAGTAAAGAAACTGTCTTGAGTGGAATTTAATGTATACACCTTGGTGGGACCTCAAATCAGGAGAAAATGCTACATTGGGGTCTGAGTTTTGGTTTGGGAAAACAAGGAGGTGGTATAGACAACACAGCAACAATCAGAACTGAGCTCTCCTATCTCTCAGGTGGGCCAAACACACATAAATGCAGGCGCGTGTCTGGAACCTCCAGCAAATGGGTTCTAGCCTCCCATAGACTCATCCTCTCTCTGAGAGCCCAATGGGGAAACCTGTTTTTCTGAACGATGCTATATTGAAGCTGCTCATTGAAAATCTTTTTATAGTACCAAAGACTATTATAAAGAAAAAAAAAAAAAAACCCCAAAGCCCTTGGTAAAAGGTAAAACACAAAAGCCGCTAAGACCTTTAAAATCTGCACCATTCTAGTCCCAAACGAGCGAACACGGAACGCCACTGCTCGCTCTCTGACAACGCTCCCGAAGGCGGTCCCCATCCGGGGTTCTGCAGGCTTCTTTCAGGCACGCCTGCGTCTGAGGCATGTTACTGACACGTCACGAGAAAAGACACTTTGGGAAAACGGCAAGTGTCCACTTCAAATTCATGTTCCACAGTCAGTGAGAACAGGGCGGGGGATTCACGCATCTGCTTGGTTTGCCATCAGATCTGACCCTAGGCACGTGCAGACTGAGGTTCCTCTTCTCACAGCCAGGCTCTGTGCGCCTCACGCTCCACACAGCTCATACCAGTGAGGACAGGCAGACTCAACTCAGGTGTGTCCTTTTGCAAAGAGGGTGTGCAGATTCGTTTCACAAATTTGCCCATGGTGGTTCTGGACTGGGATTACTCGCAAGATGCAATTTTCTCATCATGCTAATTCGATGTCATCCCAGGTGTGTGGGAAGATCCTGCATGTCCCTGATGCCTGGGATGCTGGCCTGGGATGCGGGCTGCTGCACCCTGTCCTGTAAGCCCGGCAGCTGGTGCTCCTGTGCCTTTTCATGCTATGCTGGGACTGGTGGAGGGGACTGGGCTGCACAGTGGACACTGAAGGTGAGAGCTTATCTGGCACCTGCAGCAAGAAGGGGGTTTGGCCTTCCCAATGAGACATTCCAGATCATTCTGTTTTTCACAACTGCTGGCCATCCCCGTGAAATCACTGTGCCCAGAGACACTGCTGGGCTGGGCTCCCGGGTGCCCCCTCCCTATACACACACTCCCTATACTCAGGGGTGGCCGAGTAGAAATGTCCACAGGCTGCAGGATGGAAGGGCCTTCAGTGTTTCTGTGCTGACATAAACACTTGTCACTTTACGTCATGCTCAACATGGAGGCTGGAAAATGGCAATGCAGATGGCTGCCTGGCCCCGCACACAGACCCGGCCCCACGGCCTGCGTCTCCCACAGCCCTGCCCAGGCAGGAAGTGGGTGGTCAGTCTCAGAGGAGATACAAAGGCAAGGCCTTCTCTCAACCCCCTTTAGAAGAGGCCCTTCAGCAGGAAGTAGAATAAGCGAGAGGGGAGCATCCAGAGCCAGTCAGGGAGCAGCACCTGCACTCCACACGGGTAGGAAGCTTCTCCCACAGGGAGGTATGTGTCGTAAGCAGGGACCACAAAAGGATGTTAAAAACCCCAGCTTCCCTGGCACAGAACAGCATGTGAGTATTCAGAGATGCGTCTCCAATGCAACGTTAATCCTGGGTCCAGCCTCTTCTCTGCAAACAGCCAGGCTTGCTGCGCGCCCACCTTCAATGATCAGCTTGGGCGGGTTTTCAATACCACAAGGCTCACCTGGGCAATACTACTGTCCTCAATGCCTCACCTTGGGGAACTTTGCAAATTAACCCTGAACCCCAACCTGTGCTTGAAAAGTGCTGCCATTCTTCCAAAACGGATGCTGACAGGAGAATACAAAATAAGAAAGGTGATCAGAAATCAAATCACAAAAGCAGTGACCCCAAGAGCCCCTGTTTAAAATTCAGGTTTTGTTCTCATCATACATGTCCAAAGAAGGTTCGATCGTGGAGAATTCGCTTTCATACACCAGACTCCGAGGGGACAAGGAGTTTCGATGAAAAAAGTGACCACCTGGAAAAGGAAGAAGAGAAAGAGACTTAATAGGTCACCAGGCCTATGTTTCTCACACGGCTGGGAGGAAACAATGCAGGTTATCTTTGAAGCATGACGTTTTCCTAACTATCCTTCATGTGGAGCTCTCATTAGAGAAATACAAAGAGTGCGGCATCCTTCAATTCAAGCTTTAAGCACCTAAGTTCCAATCTTCGGATCCCCGAGAGACTAACTACTGGAGCTACGCAAAGCAAAAGCTGCCTGGTGCTCTTAAAAGGTTCCACTTAGAAATGTGAAGACTTTTTCCTGGGCACACCATCTTATGGAGGACTGCCCCCAGCCCTCTCATCTGAGCACCTGTTCCGGTGTGGTCCTGGGGATGGGCACGGAGCCCCCTCACAGCTGGACAGACTTGAGGTGTGACTTGGAGGCTCTGATTATATATATATATATATACACATATTTTTTGAGACAGAGTTTTGTTCTTGTTGCCCAGGCTGGAGCGCAGTAGTGTGATCTCGGCTCACTGCAACCTAATATGCCTATGTTGATCCTTCTGAATTTTTTCAGTCTTAGATTTTATCTACTGAATTCCCACTGTGGAAGATGAGGATTTTCTTCTAACCGCCCCCCTGCTCCACCATTGCACATATTTTCCATTGCCCCAATATAATTATATTTTGATTTTAAAATTCCATATGTATGTTATTTGACTATTTGTGCTACTCAAAGCTAAGCCATGCTTACATTTCCTTTTCTATAAAACTGTTTTTAAGCTTTACTGGGGTATAACTGACATATAATGAAAAGCACATGTTTAAAGGACATAATTTGGTGAGCTCTGACAGCTGTATACGCCAGTGACACTGACACCAGAATCAAGATAACGAACATATCCACCACCCCAAAGTTTCCTGGTGCCTCTCAATCCCTTCCCCGTCTTTCTACCCTACTCCGATTGCCAGGGAAACATAGATTAGTTTGCATCTTTCTAGAATTTTATGTAAGTAGAATCGTATAGTATAAATTGGCTCTTACAAATAAAGTTGCTACGAACATCTGTGCACACACATTGTGTGAACATACGCTTTCATGTCTCCTAGACCTGTAAATACTCAGAAGTGAAATGACTGTAAAAAAATGAACTTTTTCAGAAGCTGCCAGGCTGTTCTAAGGTGGTCCTGGCCAGGTGTGGTGGCTCACACCTGTAATCCCAGCACTTTGGGAGGCTGAGGTGGGTGGATCATTTGAGGTCAGAAGTTCGAGACCAGCTTAACCTACATAGTGAAATCTTGTCTCTACTAAGATACAAAAATTAGCCAAGCATGGTGGCAGGCACTTGTAGTCCTAGTTACTTGGGAGGCTGAGCCAGGAGAATCCCTTGAACCCAGGAGGTAGAGGTTGCAGTGAGCCAAGATCACGCCACATGACTGTAATCCCGGCACTTTGGAGGCTGAGGCAGGCGGATCACGAGATCAGGAGGTCAAGACCAGCCTGGCCAACATGGTGAAACCCCGTCTCTACTAAAAATACAAAAAATTAGCCGGGCAAGGTGGCAGGCACCTGTAATCCAGCTACTCGGGAGGCTGAGGCAGGAGAATGGCGTAAACCTGGGAGGCGGAGCTTGTAGTGAGTTGAGATCCGGCCACTGCACTCCAGCCCGGAAAAAAAAAAATTTCTTTAAAAAAATTTTTTTGAGACAGAGTCTTGCTCTGTCACCCGGGCTGGAGTGCAATGGTGCCGTCTTGGCTCACTGCAACCTCCGCCTCCTGGGTTCAAGAGATTCTTGTGCCTCAGCCTCCTAAGTAACTGAGATTACAGGCATGGGCCACAATGCCCAGCTAATTTTTGTATTTTTAATAGAGATGGGGTTTCACCACATTGGCCAGGCTGGTCTCGAACTCCTGAGCTCAAGTGATCTGCGTCAGCCTCCCAAAGTGTTGAGATTATAGGCACAAACCACCATGCCCAGCTGGGGCTGTCTTCATATTATCAAGTACAAGGGTTTAAAAACAATTCTAGGCCGGGCACGGTGGCTCATGCCTGTAATCCCAGCACTTTGGGAGGCTGAGTCAGATAGCTTGAGCTCAGGAGTTCAAGACTAGCCTAGGTAATGCGGCGAAACCCTATCTCTACTAAAAATACAAAAAGTAGCCAGGTGTGGTGGTGAGCACCTGTAGCCCCAGCTACTTGGGAGGCAGAGGTGGGAGGATCGCCTGAGTCTGGGAAGCAGAGGCTGCAGTGAGCCGAGACTGCACTACTGCCCTCCAGCCTGTGCTTCAGAGCGAGACCCTGTCTCAAAAAAAAAAAAAAATGCTTGATACAAGTCTTGCCAGACATACACATTTTGCAAATATTTCCTCCTAGTCTGTGGCTTGCCTTTCCATTTTTATAACAGTATCTTTTGAAGATTAAAAGTTTCAAATGTTGGTAAGATCAAATTTATTCATTTTTTCCTGTTAACAGTTTGTGCTTTTTGTGTCAGATTTAAGAATCCCAAGGTCACTAAGATTTTCTCCTACATGTTCATCTAGAAGCTTTACAGTTTTAGTTCTTACACTTAGATGGTCCACTTCAAGTAAATCTTTGAAAATGGTAGAAAATAAGAGTTGGCGTTCATTTTATGTATTTATTTATTTTGCATATGGATATCCAATTGTTCAGTTGTCGATTGTTTAAAAGATTATCCTTTCCCCCACTGAACTGTCTTGGCACCTTTACGAAAAATCTATTGATTGTAAATGTGTGGGTCTATTTCTGGGCACTATTCTGTTCCAGCAATCCATTTGTCTGTCTTTGCGCTGTTAAATTGCTAAACTGCTTCCTTACATATTTTAAGTTCAGCCTAAAGGTTTCTCCATACACAGTGAACTGTCACCTAACTGGACGTGTGACAGACTGTAACCGACTCCTGTACCCAGGAGCTGGGTCTCAGCCAATCCCAGCGGCTGAGTTTCAGCCAATCACAGGCGGCCAACAGTGCAAACCGGGTTCAGTGAGGCAAAGGCCTAGCTTCACCCATCCAGCTGTTTCTGTACCTCACCTCCCTTTTTCTGTCCATAAATCTGACCACGGTGCAGCCCTAGAGTTGCTCTGAACCTATTTCGGTCCTGGGGGCTGCCCAATTCTTCAATCACTCTTGCTCAATTAAACTCTGTTAAATTTAGTTTCTCTCAAGTTTTTCTTTTAACAACACTAACACCATATTGTCTTGATTACTGTAGCTTTACAAGGCTTGAAATTAGGATTAGAAATACTGGAACTTGATGCGCATGGAGGTTTGTGCCTATAATCTCAGCAGATTACTCAACAGACGAGTATTAAATGAAAGCATTTCAGTGCTAGTTCATGAGCGGCACGGCAATCTCTGTTTTCTTAACTTTTCTATGTTAAAAGTCTTCTGCATTTAAAAAACTGGCATGAAGTCGGGCTTGAAGGTCATTATCTGCAATCCCAGCTAATAGGGAGGCTGAGGTGGGAGGATCGCTTGAGCCCGGGAGTTCAAGTCCAGCCTGGGCAACACAGTGAGACCCCGTCCCTAAACAATTTTTTTTAAAATAAATAAAAATTAAATACAGGCTGGTTATAGTGGCTCATGCCTGTAATCCCAGCACTTTGGGAGGCCGAGGTGAGTGGATCACCTGAGGTCAGTAGTTCGAGACCAGCTTGGCCAACATGGTGAAACCCCATCTTAGGGCGAGGGCACTGGAAATTCCAAGGCTGTTCTCACATGCCTGTGCCCTACGCATCTGTCAAACCACAAAAGTGAAAATAACAGGCATCGGAACCAGAGAACCATGGCTGGGTTCTTTTATCTATCGTATCTATTCTATCTATCTATCTATCTATCTATCTATCTATCTATCTATCTTTTTGAGGTCGCTCTCACGCTGTTGCCCAAGGCTGGAGTGTGCAGTGGTGTGATCCTAACTTCACTGCAGCTTCAACCTCTGGGCTCAAGCAATTTCTCTGCCTCAGCCTTCCCAGAAATTGGGGACCTACAGGTACGTAACCACCAAGTCTGGTAATTTTTAAATTTTTCTTTTGTAGGCCAGGGTTCTTGTTAGGTTGACCAGGCTGGTTTCCAAGCACCTGGCCTTAAGCCATCCTCCCACCTTTGGCCTCCTGAAGTGCTGGGATTACCTATGTGAGTCACCTACACAGGCTGGATTATCCTGAGCCAAGTTTGCA